AACATGGAATGGCTTCTGCAAGATTTGGGCCTGCAGAGAGCTAGAGGAGACAGAGAAAAGAGGAGCGTTTCTGCCAGAAATGCATTCTCGAGCCCGATTTGCGCGTGTGCACTGCTGAGTGTGACTTTGCTCTGTTAGGACTTAAAAGAAAGCTCTGCTTCTTTAAATAGGAATTTTCAGACCGTGATAAGCACTGGGAAAGCAGAAAGTTGTCCAGGAAGGATGGTTGCTTTGGATTTTCACCTGATTTAGACCAACTGGAGCCTGTGCTTTCTTGTCAGAATAAATTTGGAGCTGAACTCACCATACCCAAGAGGGAGATGTGCTGGGGGAAGGGCTGTGAGCTGTATGGGAAATTCCTGCTGACATCAAATCATTTCAGATCACTCAATTTCCTTTGATTTCATTCAACGTCATTTCATTTTATTTCCAAGTCCTAAGAAGTCTGGAAAAGGAGACGCTGAAAATAACTGCAAAACTTAAGGCATGAAATGAAATATCTCCTAAAATTAAAGTGAGGTTGTAGAGATTCACCATCGTAAGGATTTGCGTAGATGACCTTTTAGCAATTTTTCCTTTGAGAATTATGGAGCTACAAACACACACGCACACACGCCAGAACCCCGCAAAAAGAAAACTTCACCAAGGAGGAAAGGTTACGTGGAAAGCTCTTCATTCAATGTGTCATTTCTAAGATTCACTAGATTGGAATGAGGATATAGAGTGGGGATGTTAGGGTGGGCAAGAAGCAGGGCGTAGGGGGAGTTTTAAATGTGTTTCATCCATGACTAATGTCTCCAACAATGGGGAATAAAACAAATTTTGCCTTTTGTAAAGGGAAATTGAAATTCAAAGTTGTGGAGAAACATTACCACCCTGGGAGCCATGACGGCCTCCTAGGGTCTAGGCACAGCTGGGCTCTTAGAAATTCACCTACTTCCAAAGGCAGGTCAAAAGAAGGTGTTGCTTTATTGAGATAGTACAAATCAGGGTCTCCTTCATAGGACAAAACCCCCAAGCACCTCTACTATTTGTGTGCCAGTAACTTCCAGCCAAGTTTGAGGAAAGACCCAAATCATCATTATTATTGTTTGTTTTCATACATGTTTGTTTATTCTGTTTTCCTTTTTAAAACGTAGCAGAATTTGTACGTCTAAATGTATGCACACCCTGAGAAAACTTTCAAACCACTATTTAAAAAGTGGGAGCAGGACCATTCCCTTACCTCCCAGAAGACAATTCTAGGCTGGCCCCCTTTTCTATCCCTAACAAGTTTAAAGAGTATATCTCACCTGTGGGCAGGCCACTCGCTATCCCCAGTTTCCTTCACTGGCCTGTCACTCTATATCCATAGCAACTTAACTCAGGTCTGAAAATCAGGAAACCTGGATCATGTAGAGGTTAGGCCTCATGAGAGATTAAAATCAATAATCTGTCTTTTTAGATATTCTGTCAGAGAGCACATTTATTTTTAAGAAGCAACATCTAAGCTGTCCGAGTTCAAAAATCAGTTTCCTTTTTGTAATATAGCACAAGAGAAAGAGTTCCGGAAGTGGCAACTTAATTTGTATCTAATTTCAGCAAAATAATTGCAGACTGCTTCCAGCTTGAATGAGCAGTGAGGTATAGCTCCAAGTAGTTACTTATTTTAGTAGCACTCCCTCAGGATGAATGCTAGCTATTTTCAGTTGCATGTGGGAAAACCAAAGGCGCTGCCAAGCTGTGGCAAGTTGGCATCGTGTGTGAGCTGTCAACCAGGATACTTACTTCTACTCAGATTCATTTTCTAACTTGCAGTTGGCGTGTGACCTTTTTCTTTATTCAATTTGGGGTCCTGATCACTTCCTTCCTCTGCCGCCCTACCTTCCCACCGATCTCTACCCCCACAGGCAGCTTTTGGCTGAATCCATTTAATAATAACAGTGTGAGTGCCAAGTGGGTTGTATAAAATCCTTAGGGAGAGCTGTGAAATGAAGCACATTGTTCTTCAGGGCTCCTAGGGACCAGAATGTACCCATCAACAAAAACTAATATGCAATAAAATTATATGTCTTTCTCTATAATTTATGCAGAGTGGGATCATGCTGCAATGAGGCCATAAATAGCTCTTGGTATATGTGGTAGGCAGCCTCTAAAACAGCCCCTGATAATCATCACTTCCTGATACTCTCTCTCTCATGTAACCTCTTCTTCAACCTGGGCTGGATGGACCTGGTACTTGGTTTTAAACAAACTGAATACAGCAAAAGTGATGGGATGTCACTTCCAAGATTGGGTTACAAAAAGTCTCTCTCTAAGCCAACTGCCATGGTGGGACCTGCCTCGTGGAGAGGCCTATGTGGCAAGGAACTGATGTCTCTAGCCAGCAGCCACAGCAGTGAACCTGGAAGGTCACCCTCCCTTGGTAGAACCTTGAGTTGACTTTGGTCCTGGCTGACACCTTGATTACAGCCTGTGAGACCCTGAGCCAGAGGACTGCTAATTTACAACTGTGTTCCCGACCCATGAAAACTATACGATAACACACGTTAACTGTTTTAAGCTTCTCAGTTTGGGGGTAATTTGCTATGCAGCAATAGAAGACTAACACAGTATATTCCTTAAAGCAGATAGACCCTCCTGCTCCAGTAAGCCCACCAGAGTTCTGTCTCCAGACTTACCTCCTGCTACAGCCTCTCTATCACCCCTAGGGACACTTTTGGGGCACATCTTACTCTTGGGTGTCTTTTTAGGAGCTATTTCTCTTGCTGAAACAACCAGCCTCCTCTTCTTCACAAGATGAATTCCTGCTCATCCCTTGACACCTGGATCAGATGTGACCTCCGGAGAACCTTCCTGACTCAGCCAGGCAGAGCTGCTACATCCAGCCTTGGGGTCTCCACAGCGCTTTGCTTCTGCCTGTGCTGCAGCATATCCCATGGCACTGTCCTTATTGGTAGGCCTGCTAGGCTGCAGCTCCAGGAGCGCAGGAAATGTTTCTTCATCTTCCAGTCCCTGGTGCCTAGCACAGCACCATGGTAAAACATCATTCTTGGAACGGATTACCAACTGTCTTACAGGAGCAGGGATCCCAGGCAGACGAGAACATCTGGTAACTAGTTCCACTCTCACCTGATGCAGGGATCTTACTGCAGCATCCTCAAAGTGTTCGGAAGAAGACCACTTTGGTTAATTGGACTACACACACACACACACACACACACATTCCAATATTATATTATATTGAGCACTCCATCAGCAGATTAAATGCTCTAGCAGCCAGCAGTGGTTTGAAGCTCTCTTGATCTGATCCCAGCCCCTTGATCCATCATTTAAGGTCATGGGGGCTTGAAAGTTGACAGTCCTATAATTTGAGTTATCATCATTTCCGTCCATGACCTTGAAGTTGATATGTCCCAGGCATCATGGACAGGCTTTACGTCATTTTTAGAGCAAGCTAGAAAGAAATCATGAAGGCATCCCAAGGGACAAGTTAAAGGGACATCCTTAGAGACAAACCTGAAAGAAGGGAGGGTTGTGCTTTTCTCTCAGATGGTGATCTAGCCCATGAAGGGAGGGGCTCATTGCAGGGTAAGGCTGTTGGAAGATCTTTCAGGAGTGGAATATGTTGTAAGCCTATATACCCCATCATCATTTTCTCCTCCGTTGTCCCTCTCCTAGACCCCAACTCACCTGTAGCAAATAGCTTCTTAACTGGTCTAATGACATTTAGTTATGACATATTCCAAGTTGTTCTCCACAGGGAGATCAAACTCTTTCTCAAATGCACATTGAATCACATCACCTGTCCACTTCAACACTCCAGTGGCTGCCTGTGCATGGCCTTCCCCAGCCTGGTTGAGAATCCCACCTCCTTGCTGTCTACATTCAGGTCACACTTGCCATCTTTCATGGCCTTGAATACGCATGTGCAGCCCCACTCTAGGGGATGCCCAGGACCCATTGGGCTTAGTTAATCCTATTGTTCCTTCAGATTTTATTTCACTCATCATTTCCTCAGAGAGTTCCCTGATGTCCCTTATTAACAAAATCCCCTCATTATATACCCAGGACCCCACACATTGCAATGATGTTAATTTGTGTGGGTATTTGATCAAGGTCCTCTCCTTTTGAAGGCAGGGACCATGCCTGTCTTTGCTGACCCTGTATTCTTGGTACCTAGTATAACCTGGTAAAGAGCAGGATTCAATCAGTATTTGTTGAATAAGTGAATGAATGAATGAATGAATGAATGAATGATGGGTGCTCTTTGAGGGTACCTGGAGGAAAAACAGAAATGTGGGGAGAATGAGAATTTAATGGAACCCAAAGCTGGGGCATAGAAAAGTAATTTGAAGTACACCACCATCCTAAAATGACTGTTGGACTTTCTTTAGACTGAGCGTGAACAACATTTACAGTTAGATGTAACTCCATTCCCCCAGGCTACAGCAGCCTCCGGGAAAACCTAGGATTTCAAGATGATTTCCAGAGCCTTTGGCTGTGCCTCCTACCCCTGCCACCCCATCAAGCCACACTAGCCCTCCCTCCCTCAGGAGCTGATGCTGGCTCTCCTGTGGGGAGGGGAGGAAGGGTGGAGTTGGGGGCGGATGATACCTCAGGTCCCCTTACTGAGAGTCTCCCTGTGTTACTGCCACCCCTAGCACAGCCGCCACAGTCTTTATCCCAGGCGTGATCTGCTTGCTGCCCGCAGCTCCACTCTGCTTCACAGGGTGCCTGACGGCCACCACTGTTGTGACTGTCCTTGCTGGGGCCTCTACTCTTGGTGGTGGGGAATTTGTTTTCCTACAAGTGTGGAAAGCTTTTCAGCAAGCCACTGGTGGAGCAATAATTGATTCCCTTCTTCTTTCCCTTAGATGATTCCCACCCTTCCTTGATTGTCATCTCTCTTAGCAGTTTTGTAGCAGGCAAATAATTTTCCCTTACTTGTTCACAAATCTTAAATCTAGGAGTATAGGACCTGCTCATTGTTTTTATTTCCTAATTTCTGTTTCTTTCAGGGCTCAGGGAGGACTGACAGTACTAGCTAGAGTTGACAACCATTCATCCAACAAACATTTACTGCACAAGGAAGAGAGGTGATCAAGGCACTGCCCTTGTCCCCAGGAAGCTCGCCAGTGCATGGGACACTGTGCAGGTGCCTTCACCTCTGGATTAGGTATTTGACTGTCAGGCCATGGCTGAGCATCCATCCTCTCTATGCTAATTTTTTCCAAAAGTCAGGAGTTTAGAAGAACACTAATGTGTTTTTCTTCCAGCCTTTCCTGCACAAATGACAACATCATTACCCTCAGCTTTTAAAATGCAAGTCTGTACAGAGATCCCAGAGTCAAGGAGGGCGCCTGAGTCATTTGAGATAATTACCTTTTTTTTTCTGCCCGAGTCTTGCATATCTGTGAATCAGCAATGGGGAAACTGGCATCAAAAAAATTAAGGGAGGCTTAAAGTGAGCAAAGCAGAGCAGAACATTGGCAAGAGCTGAGTGCTGCCACAGCAGGAACATCATGCCGATCGTCATCTAAGGGAGCTCATGGTGCTGTCTGCCTCCTCTTAGCAACATCCACACAGGCTGGTACAGTCAGATCATTGTGACTTGGACAGGGATGAAAATACTCAGCTGACACCAATAGCTCCCAGCACAGCCAGGGTATTCTAGAGGTGTGTGGTGTCAGGACAGCCTGTGCAGCCTCATTTATTTACCTAAGTCATCTGAACGAAGCAGTGACTGGCTTTGCCTCGCTCTGGCAAGAACTCGCAACAAACCCAAAGCCTCTTCCTCCACGGCCTTTGCTCCTGCAGCACAGCACTGACATCTTTTTAGCATCATAGGCACTGGCACGTGGCAATCAATGACAGATGAACTGTCCCTTCCCTGGGCCACGAGCTCTTCAAGGCGGGAGCCTTAGCCGGGTTTCTTCCATGTCTCCAGGGCCCAGCACGGGGCCTGGCTTCTAGTTGTTTTCTGATGAATAAGCGAATGGCTATAGACATGTACTCTTGGAAACACAAGGGGCTTCTGTAGTGGCAACATGTTCAATAGCACAGTACTGTATTGGTTCTTTACAGCCTGCAGGACCCAAAGAAGGAATGATTTTTGTTTCCTGGAAAAGGTGTACCTCATGAGGGCACTGCTCAAGGGAAGGTGCCTACAAGTTGGGGATCAAGGGAGGCACAGGTTGATCAAGGCCCCAGGAATTGAAATGGAGGTGTTTATCCTAAGGGAGCTCTGAACATCTGAGGCAGAGCCTCGATTCTCCAGGAAATTGACTTTGCTGGAGAACAAGGCTGGGGGAGGCAGGCTGTCTTAGGGGAGGAGTCGTATTTCAGCCCCATTGAGACCCCAAAGGCGCACTCCCTTGCTTTACCCGGACTGTCCACCAGGGGGCAGGCAGAGGCAGGAGAAGAGGAAAGCGGGCGACTGGTCAGGCCCAGCACACCCAGCCTGGCATCCCACAGGCTGGGCTGCCTGACTCAGAAAAGGCCAGGCCGCTCCTCCTGCCTGTTGTGGCCTCTGTGATTTTATATGGTTTGGCCTGTGACATCAGACACCACGCGACCATGGTAACCAAAGTATACAGCCTGGAGTGAATGTTAATAAACAGGAAAGAAATGATCCCTGGTGTCTTACTTTACTCACCATTTGTGGTCTTGTTATCCACGCCTAATGTCTCCTTTATTACCCTGAGCAATTGAGATGTACCTGAATTCAGCAACTTTTTAAAATGAAATGCTAAATTGGGGAAATGTGAGTTGGTTTCCGTGTTTAACTAACTTTGAAAATAGTGCCATGAGTGACCGCTGCCTCTTGATATCCTGCTCAACACTCCTCTTATGTACAAACATGTAATTTACAAGGAAGATTATTTCCTTAATAATCCCCACATGCCTTCAAGAGTCATTTTCCCCAAAGAAACGTCAGGTGATGGGATCCCGTTATTGGTTAAAGTTTTTCCTAATATCCTCAAGGATTGAAGAAAAACAGCACACCTGTCCTCCTATACAAATTAATGGGCCCAGAGGCCCGGACCTAAAACAAACTAGGACTGAGTATAAAGGAATAAATGTTTTACCAGGCCAGATCACAGAAGTGAAAATCTTTGTGTCGAGATGAGAGCTGCTTCATACGACATCAGAGAGTTTGAAGGTTATAGTTCTCCTGCCTACCAAGAATATCTGATTAGAAGCTTTTTAAATTTTGCCTTAGTGAAGTTAAAGACTCTTTAATAAATTGAATCTTTAATTAGAATAAGAACAAACCGATCATATTACATGAACCAATAGAGAATGATAAAACAGTCCTAAAAGAAATGGTTTTCTAATGGAATCAGAATTCATATGCAAACCTTTCCATGCTGCAGACTTTTTTGAATGCTACCCCTGATTTCATTCCAATAGTATTCACAGCTGAGAAGTATCTTTTAAAGATATAGCATGAGATCAAGTTACTTTAATAGTTTGCAAGATACTCTCAAGAATTACCTAAAAATATGCAGTTTCTATGATACCATAGATTCGCTCATCTAAAATTGTTTGATCTTCAATTAAAAACATAAACAGGCTTGGATATATTTGGTCACAGATATTGCCAGAGTTTCCAGATTGCATTGTTCAAAGGTATTTCATAAATATGAAAAAATGTGTTGAGAAGGCATCCATCTGATTGGGTATTCAGGCTCACAAAGAAAGTAATTACAGGGGCAGAGACTGGGAGTCAGCCCTCATTCATCTCAATTCTCTTTCACATATCAGCATAGCTTGACCTTGATTTTTTAGATGCAAGTAAAGGACATTGATGTAATTCAAATAAATTGCTTTTTTTCAAATATCCTGAGGAGTCTGGAATCAGACACGACAGACTCGATGGACAAAAGCCTGAAGGAGAACCAACTCTGAAGTCATCATAGTGGTTCTAAAAACAGTGTCTTTCCTTCTTATTGACCTAAATTTTCATCTTCTTTCTAGGGAACATTTGCTTGCCAGGTCCTTGGAAAAGGTCCACCTGTCGGCTTCTCCTCTCCCTTCCTTCTCGTCTGCATTTGCGTCTTCCGTTGAGATTCCCACCAGGGAATGTTGCTGCCGCCATGGCAGCCTCTGGTCAGCTGAAGTGACCTTCAACCTTCCTTGCCTTTCTCTGAGGGCAGGGGCCTTGCTTTTCCCATTAACAAAGCACTTTCCGTCAACTTTTAGGTTTCTTCACGGTTGATTAAACTGTGTTTATTTAGGATCCTTCTCCTCTTTCTGTGTCCGGCTGCTGACCTGTCTGCCAGCTCATTGTTGGAGGAGAACGCTCACAGGGTAGTCTATCTGACTGCTTGTTAGCAGCTTTGGTAAAGGTTTTGTTCTGGAAAATGTTTAGCCTGTTGAAATACTAGTGCATCTTCAAAGCATATGACATTTTGCTTGGATAGTGTTCAGAATTGCTGTTACTGGGTAAGGCCAGAAGCATGTGAAAGAGAAAAACCCGAGCTAGCCTGTGAGTTATAACTGCTAGCATCTCCCTTAAACCTGGTGCATGTTGATCATCTTGCATGAAGCTCCATAAGGCTTCACTTGGTATGCTGTGGTTCTTTTTTTTTTCTTTTTTTTTTGAGATGGAGTCTCGTTCTGTCGCCCAGGCTGGAGTGCAGTGGCGCAATCACGGTTCACTGTAGCCTTGAACTCCTGGGCTCCTGAGCAGCTGGGATTATGGCGTGTGCCGCCACACCCACTAATTTTTATTTTTATTTGTTTAGAAACGAGGGTTTCCTTATGTTGCCCAGGCTGGTCTTGAACTCTTGGCCTGAAACAATCTTCCAGCCTCAGCCTCCCAAAGTGCTGCGATTACAGGCATGAGCCACCACTCTTGGAGGTTCTTAATAAGAGTAGATAGACATGGTTTTGTTACTTGGAAATGGGAAGAAGAGAGAAAATGAGGCACAGAAAGTTTTGTTGAGTGGCCAAAAGATAAGCCAGGACAAACACCTTAAGCCAGAACTCCATTTTTGGAGATTCTTGTCTGTAGGACAGCGAACACCCCTGCTGCCGCCCTGCCCTAGGTTCTCAGGCAGGCTCAGCTCCCCAGTAGCCCCCACACTCCGAGGCCCAGCCAAATGCCAGTTCCACCACATGCAGGCATCAGTTCTTTCTCTAAGCACTGTGACACGTACTTGCTATACCTCTCAGAATGGTATTTTTGTGTTTTGCTTATTTGTGTATGAATCTTATCACACTGGCTTGATTGTGAGTGCTTGGAGTGTGAGAAATGTACCTCTGCATGCCCAGAAGCATGTGATACATATTTTAGTGAAAGCAAATGGATAAATGGAGGTGCAGATGGATGCTGTCCCCAGTTCTTCTCTTTAATGCCACCTACTCACCTGGATAACTTGCCCTCCCCATTCCTCACACTATGCTCAGCTCCCAGCTTCTGCAATTGGTTTGGCTTTACTCTGTAGTTTGGTTATTTGTTCATCTCACCTTTATATCTCTGCCTAGTCATTGTCACCCATCTTAGATGATAAACTGTTAGGGGACTGAGGCTCCACTTAACTCCCTTTACCTACCACTTGACAAAAACACAGGGCATGACTAAACACTTAATGGACTTCAGAAGATGATCCTTATAATCAGAGAAGTGAATCACTAAAGCTGATCGCCTATCCTCTCAGAATGAAGGTTGAATGGTTCAGGACTTTGTGAAGTTCTTAGTCACCATTGCCCCCTTCCTCATAGTGAATCTTACCCTATACATTTTGTTTAGCTGCAGGCTAAACTAAGAATAATATTTTCTTATTCCTAGAACATAAGATTAGAAGACTGCTTCTAAAGGCTGGGTTTCTCAATAGCAGCAAGTTGTCATCTTGGGTTGGATAATTCTGTCGTGAGGGCTGTCGTGAGCGTTGCTGGACATCTCGCAGCATTTCTCGTCTCTACCCATAGACGCCAGTAGCATGCCCCACTGTTTTCAGGAATTGCCAGAAGTCCCTAGGGTAGGGTGGGGGAGCAAAGCCCCTGGTTGAGAGCCACTGCTTTAAGGGATAAAGGTGGAAGAGGGAAGCCATGGAGGAAAGGAAATGATGGCCATAACTAGGTATTATTCTTCTCTTTGGAGGTTTTTGTTTTGTTTTTTAAAAAATGAAACCAGCATGGTGTTCTGCTCTGACAGTTGGGAGAGGAGAGTCTTCCAAATGCATTTAAATTATACAACATTTCATCACTTTGCCCTTTTACACCCCTTAAGGGCTATTTTTTTCACCGTTACCACTAGGTTGGACCTGCTTTCTGTGGCTCAATCCCATCTTGTTTTAGGAATAGCTTTCTGGAAGCTCTGACGGGCACACGATGACTTGCTGGGAGAGGCACCAGCGGGGCTGCTTTGCTGTCCCCGGGCCTGGACACCGCCCTCATGAGGATACTGTGTTTAGGACTCTGCTTCTCCACTTTGCTGATCTGGGAACTAAATTTTTTTTTCTTTTCCCTGTGAATTAGTAAGCCACTGGGAGCAATAATTCACCAAAACTGGACTCACCAGACACTGGGCTGCACACCAGACGATTACAGTATTGCTTTAAAATGCATATCCCCAGAGCCCTCACCCGGAGTTGGAACGTGGGCAAGCAGCATGAAATGTGGCCCAGAGTGCACGTAGGGCCCCAGGCCAGCGCGGCCCCAGCCCTGGCCCGGATGTCTGGCCCTTTCTGTCTCTGCTGCCAAGGGGATGACCTTTGTGGCCAGTAGAGGGCGGGGCGGAGAAAAAGCTGGGATTTAAGAGAAGAGTGAGAGCTTAAAGATGTGCACGATCTTTAGAAATAATTTGCGGTGTCTGCTTCAGTGAATGTTGGTGTCCCGAGGCCGAGTGCAAGTCGTTCCCAGTGGACACGTTTCCAGTGTGGCCTTCGGTGATCAGGATGACCGAGGAACTGCAGAAGCTGTGGCAGAGGTGGAGTCAGGACAGAGGGTGCTGGTTGATCTCAGGAGCTATTCTCCCAGGCTGTGGGAAAGCCTGACGAAAGTGCTCTGCTTCTGTGCGGAGCTCATCTCCCTAGCGATGGGCACAGGCACTTCTGCCCTGAGGGGGAGCTGCTGTCTGGCTGAAAGCGGCTGTGCCTCCCCGGCACAGGCCCTGGTTCTGCAGATCCCCCGGCCCTTCCTCCCTTGTGGACCACCCTTCTCTGTCATCACATGCCCTATTTATTTATTTATTTATTTATTTATTTATTTATTTATTTATTTATTATTTTGGACGGAGTCTCACTGTCTCACCCAGGCTGGAGTACAGTGGCTCACTGCAACCTCTGCCTCCTGGATTCAAGAGATTCTCCTGCCTCAGCCTCCCGAGTAGCTGGGATTAGAGGCACACGCCACCATGCCTGGCTATTTTTTTCTATTTTTCTTTTCTTTTGTATTTTCAGTAGAGATGGGGGGTTCACCATGTTGACCAAGCTGGTCTCGAACTCCTGACCTCAAGTGATCTGACCACCTCAGCCTCCCAAAGTGCTGGAACTACAGGAGTGAGCCACCACGCTTGACCCATGTGCCGTTTTTTTTTTTTTCTTTTTTAATTTCAAAGGTCTGGTCACCTGCATTTGCTAACTCGGTGAATGACCTCCTGCATTCTGGGCTTGCTTAGCAAAG